AAGCCTTGAATAGAAATTTTATTTATAATATCAAGAATGTAATAACATGTCATGTGTCAATGTTCAACAACATTTTTGAATGAAAGTTCCATTGAAAGCAAGAAGAAAAGCTAGTTTTCTTCAGTCATATCATACAAGGTCCTTCGACAATCAACAGTACCAATTACGAAAAAGTTGCATAATTCCATGTAAAATATAAAAAATATTCACTCAAATACAGGGTGTTCCATTTAAGAAAATACAGTTTTGGTCAGCCCTCCGAAAACGAATCACCCTGTATAAGTCAAATTTTTAAAATGTGTATTTCTTGCCGCCGCACCCGAACCTATTTTGAAATATTTTGCCTCAATTATATTCTAGCAATAAATCAACTTTGCCACAGCGACTCTGTATACAGTGTGTCCCAAAATTATGGAACAAAATACATTTTTTTTCAGTTGAAATTTAAAAAATCCCTTAAACGGGTCAATTAGTAAATAGATTGTCACTTTTCTGTAATATTTTCTATTTTTTTGAGCCATGTTTGAGAGACCTTTAACATTACCGACATTTTTTTTAATAGGACGCTCTATATTTTATAGTATAAATAGATAGCCCTTCTAAACAATAATTTAGTACTACTTTTTATTTTATTACAGCAAATGTTCAAACTATTGCACAACATTTGGTGTTGTTTCGAACTTGTTCTCTTATACGATTTTTCAATCCTTCGATAGTGTCTGGTCTGTTCACTCACATACACTATGCTTTTTAGATAACCCCCCCAAAAAAAATCTAGTGGGGTTGTCAGGGGAACGTGGTGGCAGTCTTCTACCTATCCATCGATTTGGGAAAACTTCATTAAGGTAATTTCTTACATCGAGACGAAAATGTGGAGGGGTACCATCTTGTTGGAACCAGACATCACCGGCAGGCATATCGTGCTCATTAGGGTTAGGATAAATTAATTCCAGAGCTGGAATATAATATACAGGGTGTTCCATTTAAAATGACAAAACTATGTAGCGCCCACGCGAAATAGAACACTGTAAACCTAAAAATATTTTACATGGCCCACATGATTCCAGGCAACTTTTATTAAAACCATTTTTTTATAAATTTTACAGTTGCAGAGTTAAAGAAGAATCCCTATTAGGTGGAACACCTTGTATAAAAACATACAGGGCTTTGTAGTAATAGATAATTTAAGCTCTTCAGTTATACTGGGTGTAACGTAAAGGTTGGGAATAAATGAAACTGTGGATTTTTTGGTTTAAAAAACAAATTTTTCTCATATGATGTTATGCTCTACGGGTTTTATTTTCCAAGCTACAGGGCGCTAAAAAGTTTCCAAAAATTTAGTTTTTCTCCAATAACTTTTGAACATTATAAGATAATGGAACAAAATTTTAGCATTAGCTTTATTTGATAATCCCCTAGTAACAGGAAAAAGATGGACTTTGTAAGTTACTCAGTGGCGTGCGTACGGATTGTTCCGTAATGTTTTTAGAACAAAATTGTGGTACGTCACTGGTAAAAACATTTTTTTAATATTTTTTTATGATCAACTTTTTATTTTAAACAAAATTACCCTCTTGCGTTTTATTTGTAGCTCGTGTAATTTTTCCGTAAATAAAACTTGTAAATACACCACTTATTTTTCCCACTGCTAACATTGGAAAATAAAAATAACAAAAACATTATGAAGTAAGCTTTGACTCAGCCACCGAACATGGTCAAATAGGCATTGAAAATGGACTTTTGCATTGAAAATGATATTAAAATACTAAACTTTTTGAAATTTTTTAGCGCCCTGTAGCTTTGAAAAGAAAACCCGTAGAACATAACTTTATATGACAAATATTTATTTTTCTAAATAAAAAATCCACCGTTTAATTTATTCCCAACCTTTACGTTACACCCTGTATATACAAAAACACACAAGACTTTGTTGGGAGAGATAATTTAAGCTATTCACGTATACAAATTTAACAGACATCAACAAATAATTTTGATAAGCATTTTTTATACATAAGGGTGGCTGCCGCCCTTAATACGGCCCAGGCATATACAAAAACATTACAAGACTTTGTTGGAAGAGATAATTTAAGCTACTCACGTATAGAAATTTAACAGACATCAACAAATAATTTTTATAAGCATTTTTATACATAAGGGTGTGCTGCTTTTATCATAGATCGACAGGAAATAAATAATTACTTTAGTAAACAATGTCACATTCATATATCAGCCTGTGGGGGGGGGACATGGTAAAAAAATATATGGTAAAATAAAAACTCGAAGGCGCGTTATAACGAAGCAACAAATTTTTTTATGAAATTCACCGATTTCATCCCCCATACGGGCTGACAAATAAAAGTGCGACAGTTAAAGTTATTACCTCTTTCCTGTCGATCTATGGTAAAATGAAAACTCGAAGGCACGTTATAACGAAGCAACGGTTTTTTTTTGTGAAATTCACCCCACTTCTTCCACCCGTACGGGCTGACAAATGAAGATGAGGCCCTATATGAATATAATTACTTATTTCCTGTCGATCTATGGTAAAATAAAATCTCGAAAGCATATTATAACGGAACATGGATTTTTTATGAAATTCACCCCATTTCATCCCCCCATACGAGCTGACAAATGAATGTGACACTGTTAATTAATGTAATTACTTATTTCCTGTCGATCTATGGTAAAATAAAAACTCGAAGGCACATTATAACAAAGCAACGAATTTTTTTACGAAATTCTCCCCATTTCTTCCCCCGGTACGGGCTGATAAGTGAATGTAACACTGTTAATTAATGTAATTACTTATTCCCTTTCAATGTATGGTAAAATGAAAGATCGAAAGCAGCGAAATTTTATTTGCTATCGATCTATCGATATATCGAACAGTCAAAGGCATTATAAAAGAGCAATGATTTTTCTTTATGAAGTTTTTTAAGCGACGACTTTATCGATTCTAATCCTACTAGAAAATGTAAATGTGGATAACTTCACATCCGTCTGACATCATAGTAAGAAAATCTTACCAATATTCGTATTTTTTTTTTCTGTTCCCTTATATAGTCCGATACTGTCACCTATCCAATCAGGATTGAAGATGGACATGTAATAATCATTTTCTACTGAATAAATCTCACTGGTTGATCATAAGATAATTGTAATTTTTTTCTTTTCATATATATTGTAGAAATAAAAAACTCTTTAATATTGCCGATAACGATAAAAACGGGGTCGTAAATACTTGTCTGCTTAGCGGAACAGGGTCATATTTAGGCAAAGTTTACAGAATATAATATTTAAGTCACCCTTAAAACAATTCACAACAGACACTACTACACAATGGCTATAAATTGAAAACAATTGCAGTGAATTACAAAAGTTACCCTATAAAAAACTTGCAATAAAACAAAAATCACACTACTCAAAACTCTACTCTAAAAAATAAGAATCACAGTATTACAGCACCAACTCCTGCCCTGTACCGCGCAAACTGAGATATCAGAAATTTAAAGTAATAAGTTCACTGTATCTATTTGTTGATTGTCTGTCATCTGTCATTAGGATATTGAGAACAACGTACGTCTTAAGGCGGGTATCCATTTGTGTCAAATGCCCCGTAACGTAACACCGAACATGTTACGTTACAGCTAGTGGAGACGGAAAATTGTTGCATGATACGTGTAACAAATTTGACACGCGTAACTAATCCGGGACGATCCATCAGTTGTCGGTTTTTAGTCGTCGCATCAAAGGAATGCAACAGTACTTTCTGCCACATATTGAGACGGGGTTACCCTTTTGGCCGTAACGTTGCCTATTGCACGTGTGATTTTCTTATTTTTTGTTTCGCCAGTATTTTTTATATGGTCTGGGGTCAGTCTGTTTTCTGCAGTAACTAGGAAAAGCATGTTTTTCTATGTTTGTGCCATGGAGTGGAGTAAAGAAAAGATTTACGGAGATTTCCGTTTCTTATTCTTCAAAATTGTATAATGAATAAAAATATATGACGCTGCTGCTAACTGCAATTGCAGTGACGAATCCATTATTGCAGTCAGGTTCATACTGCGAGTTTATGTTCCTATGTCATCTCGTAACCTTATTTTGTTACGTTACGGAAAAAATGATACGACCAAAACCACACATACTTTCGCAGCGAACCGTGTCACCTTTTGCAACAGGCCGTAACATGTTCGTTGTTACGTTACGGAGCATTGCCACAAGTGGATACCCGCCTTTAGAGAGATGCTCAGAATCTGTTTTCTTGCCAGCCCAGCTGTCAAATGTTTCGGCGAGTTAGTATTGTACAACATACATTTCAAGAATAAAGTGAATAATGCTCGGAATAATGCAATTATTCTTTAAATAAATATAAGTATGCAAATTCAGCATATTCTTATATTTTCAGAACATAACTCAATATTTTAAACGTACATTTAAATTTAAACATTTAAATTTAGAGAATATTTATACATGTCGGCAACACAGGACCCACGTTCGGCGAATCAAGACCCCGCCCACCTCGGGTAAAGCGGAGCAACTTGTAAATTGAATACCTACCTGACAAAATATGTAATTATTGATTAATAATCACTCTATTGTTCATTAATTTTGTATTCAATTTATCTAGATGAGTGTATTTGATAAGAGCATTATGATTTGTGAAATAAATTAACTGTTATAACATTTATTTTCTACAGACATTTAAAAATTGTGTTGCCCTACTCTCCCCCTAGCACACTTACCGGCAGGTTTTGACATTTTTTATGTATATTATAAGTATGAAAAGAACTATACCAATATTCGGAACAGAATAATTATTGAAATTTGAAAACCCTGTACCATGGTAACAAAGCATTTACGGACATGAATTTATATGAACTTTTTTACTTAAAATGATGCGCAGATTATGAAACACCCTGTATTGTTCTAGGTAAACAACATTTAGTACACAAAAGACATAGGTAGCTAATAAAATGCTTTATTTAGATAGTGAAACTTACCAAACAACTCCAAACGCTCCGTATCCGATGGGGCGGTCTGGTTGAACCTGTTCCTGTGTATGAGCCGGAGCTGCAGCATGTTGCGGATGGTAGTAAGGCTGAGCACCGTGCAGGCCCCCTTGCTGTCCTCCAGCAGTGGGACCAGCTGTACCCTGCATTAAACTCATGGAGACGGACATGGACACCCTCGAGTGGCAGTTAGGGACCGCCACAGCCATCAAATATTGTCCCAGTTTGATTTCAACACATTGTATTAATTAATTATTGTTCCTTAATCTTTTCTGTAGGTTAGGTACCTGTTCACTAACAAGTTATAGTAGGAGTGCTGTTGAAGTCACGTATGTAGTACTTCGCTTTTAGTAAAATGCTTTTGTTTAGTTTTTATTATTGTCCTTCAATAAGTAGGTACATGTAAAATTTATTAGGTTGGATTATTGAGTTTTCAGAATGGTAGGTAAATTTTACTAACAAGTTAATTCAGAGATTACTAAATGCGCTCGTTTTATTGTCACTTATTTAAATGACTAAACAAGGAAATGTATGCAATTGATAACTAAGTGTTCATAAAATATACAAAATTGTAGGCACCAAAAAGTGTACAATAAGAACCTCTAAATTCACCATCAAAAACGAATTTTTCACTAAAACAATTTGATAGTTACCACAGTCTGTTATGCACACGTTTTAAATTATAACACAGAAACATGTTTTGAAACATTGCAGATTAAGCGCGGCGAGGGAACTTGATTAAATCAAAAAGAGTACCTAGAAGTAATATCACAAACGCACTACGTACAGAACAACTCGGTTCCTTGCAGATTAAGATTAAATGGCTACGACGCTTTTGCTGTTGGTAGAAGTTGGTGTTGCAAAGCGCATGTGTATACGGCCAATCAACAGCTGACTACAGTATACTTACGGTAATGATAATCTCAAAGTCAAACTGAAATGTCTAGCACTTTGTAAGTTGAAAATAAAATGCGATTTCGTTAATTAACACAATAATCAGTTACGCAGGATTGATACGATTCAGCAAATGGTGATTAACATATTTCACTATGTTTATGTATGTTAAGACGGTAATTATTATTTACTATAGGTACCGTAAAACGTAAAATACCGAACCGTCTCAAAATTTTCCCTCGATGGTGCTAAACACGAATCTAGTTGTTTTTGTGCAGTCGAACCTAGTTTTTGAGAAAAAAAGACACAACACTAGAATTGACACTATTCACAACATTGTACACTTTATGTAGTTTTCAGAACACGTGTAGTTTAAGGTCGGCATTGTTGAGAAACCTATTTTAATAAATGTCAAGTAAAAAATTTTACATAAAGCAATTATTTCTAGGTTTAGTCCACCATTTCCAGTTCATAAGTGACGTCATACGTCATGTCAATCGTGTGATAGTCTAGTGTCTATGTCTATTCGAAAAAAGATTATGAGGTACCCCAAATTTTTTCTTATAGCTGTTTTACATTGACCATTTATTGATCAATTAATTCATGATGTCGCTTCATCAAGAAATTGGACAAGTATATGTAATGCACCAAATCAGCTGTCAAATAACTTCATCAATTTATTCATGGAGAAGTCTCCCTGAATTTATTCATCAAGTTCTTGACGAATTAGAGCATGTTCTAATTTTCGTCAATTTCTTCGTGAAGTTCGGAAGTACCAACCCAACAAATTTCCAGCCTCAAATAAGTAATGAGGTTATGTTATAGAGATGGGCGTTGCAGTTCACTTTGCTGAATAGTTCATTTGTGAACTACTCACTTCAAAGAATAGTTCATTTTTACAGTTTGAAATGAACTGTAGTTCTTTTGCCTTGACTCAATTTTACTACCTATCTTCCCCACCACGAATGAGCTGCTCAGCTCAGCATCGACACCTGACAGCGGCAGCGGCAATGGTTTGTTTTTAGAATACTGAAATAATTTGTTCGAAATGAATCGTTCACGAACTATACATCTCTCAATTCTTAAATCTCCAGTAGCCAGCGACAGTAGCACGATCCTCATCGCATCACCGGTCGGTTTCGGTTTCAACCTATGAACATAGTATAATCTAGCTAGACGCACGCGCACGTTCGCAGTTCAAAACGAACTATACATTGAAAGAATGATGAAACAGTTCGTTCAGTTCGTTGGAAGTGAATAGTTCTTTTCAACTATTCGTTCACGAACTACACATCTCTA